ATTGTCTTTATAATCGTCAAAGTCATAAATTTCTTACCGCAGATTAGATATGCAACTAGATACCTATATTTCATGTAACTATCCTACCAGAAAATGTATCTATTATGGATGTACTATTAACATAGGTGCATATCTATTCTGTATTGTTAGAATTTTATGACTCTGAATATCATAAAGACAATTGATTGGAGTTAATAATCAAAATTGCCACTGTAGCAACATCCATTGATCACTTGATGCTAGTGTAAATCCAGGAAATTGAAATATTACTGCATTATTTTGATTTCAATACATAAGCAAATATTATGCAATTGCTTTTATCTTGCACTCATCTCTATAGTCAAAGGCTTGCCTAAGAATTTTAACATGAAAAGAGGATGATATAAGATATAGTCCCCAATGTTATGGTTGTACTGGAAGCCGCTAAATGATCATGTGGCTGGAATCAAACTATTGATGCGCACTTCAATCAACCTTTATCAAGCCTTTGCTGTTGTGGTCAAAAAATCCCACTCATCAGAAATATGATCAGTTCACACTTGCTGTTTGTTTGCTAGTAGTCGTTTTGTTCATTTTGGTGATGAGCAATGGTTTTGAATACCTATTGATTTTCCCGTCTTCATAAAAATATGCACATCTTTCCATCAATCAATGTCATCAATCAAACTTACCATCAATAACCATCAAGCATTGCTTCAAGCAAAGTGTCCAACTGGTTCCTACACTGTCAACTATGCTGAAGTTAATTGATTGACACAAGCTTTTGATCAAGCTGCTAGATTATTTGCGTCTAGTTTTGGACAGTGTTGTATTGCCGATACAATACTTGACTGTCTTATCTAACTTACAATATTAACCACACATTGAGAGTTTTCAAAAGGTTTCTCTTCAACAGTTTTATTCTATAAGTGAGCAACAAAGAAATTTAAGCTGCTCTAATTGTGGCGTGAGAGAAATTATAAGCAGAGTTTGTATAACAATCCAGTAAATTGTAAATACAATAAGCATGCATTGCTTAATTGGATTTAAGAAACCTCTCATTCTGGCCATTTCAAAAACGCAGCATGAAAATAAATTCCTATATACGTTTTGTTAGTCATAAGCAAAATAATGATAAATTATTGAAATATTGCTATTAGCACTGCATTGCAAAATAAAACCTGTATTAGTTAGGCCACAGTACATTTCAAATTGCTGGAATTTGGCATGGTCACCTATTGCATCCCATTTATCAATAAAAATGAGACCAAAAAATTGATGACATAATTGAGGTGTGCTCTACTCTAAAATGAGCAGTTTTGCTGTTTTAATGAAAAATTTGATGATGTTAAATAAGAGAAAAAATTTGCTTCACTATTGCTCCATTGTGCATTAAAGGTATCCATTTAATTTCTGAACTATAGCCACCATAAGAACATAAACATATATATTTTTTGTCCCAGCCATTGCGGCCCCTTCAGCATTATATAATTTCTTTCTATGCTGTTGGTTCAATGTAAAAAAACATTATACAGATACATCGGCCTATGAATCAAGCCTTTGCTGTTGTGGTCAAAAAATCCCACTCATCAGAAATATGATCAGTTCACACTTGCTGTTTGTTTGCTAGTAGTCGTTTTGTTCATTTTAGTGATGAGCAATGGTTTTGAATACGTATTGATTTTCCCGTCTTCATAAAAATATGCACATCTTTCCATCAATCAATGTCATCAATCAAATTTACCATCAATAACCATCAAGCGTTGCTTCAAGCAAAGTGTCCACCTGGTTCCTACACTGTCAACTATGCTGAAGTTAATCGATTGACACAAGCTTTTGATCAAACTGCTTGATTATTTGGGGCTAGTTTTGGACAGTGTTGTATTGCCGATACAATACTTGACTGTCTTATCTAACTTACAATATTAACCACACATTGAGAGTTTTCAAAAGGTTTCTCTTCAACAGTTTTATTCTATAAGTGAGCAACAAAGAAATTTAAGCTGCTCTAATTGTGGCGTGAGAGAAATTATAAGCAGAGTTTGTATTATATTCCAGTAAATTGTAAATACAATAAGCAAGCATTGCTTAATTGGATTTTAAAAACCTCTCATTCTGGCCATTTCAAAAACGCAGCATGAAAACAAATTCCTATATACGTTTTGTTAGTCATAAGCAAAATAATGATAAATTATTGAAATATTGCTATTAGCACTGCATTGAAAAATAAAACCTGTATTAGTAAGGCCACAGTACATTTCAAATTGCTGGAATTTGGCATGGTCACCTATTGCATCCCATTTATCAATAAAAATGAGACCAAAAAATTGATGACATAATTGAATGGGGTGCTCTACTCTAAAATGAGCAGTTTTGCTGTTTTAATGAAAAATTTGATGATGTTAAATAAGAGGAAAAATTTGCTTCACTATTGCTCCATTGTGCATTAAAGGTATCCATTTAATTTTTGAACTACGTATAGCCACCATAAGAACATAAACATATATATTTTTTGTCCCAGCCATTGCGGCCCCTTCAGCATTATATAATTTCTTTCTATGCTGTTGGTTCAATGTAAAAAAACCATTATACAGATACATCGGCCTATGTCATGGCTTTGTTGTTAAAAGTATATTTTCTCATAAGAATTTGTGTGAATACTAAACAAAATTTTTGAATATTTGTCTCTTAGTAGCAATTAGAATGATGACATACTGATTTGTGGTGTAATAATCAAGATAATTGATTATTATTTCAATTACAAGGTATGAATAATAACAGTAGTTTGTAAATATTTTTCATCAAGGTTTATTATGTTAAGGAGGTTAAAAAAATTATTTGATTATATAGGATGTATTTAAAAAATAGTTCAAAATCTGAAAGACTGCAAGTGCACACGGTAAGGTTTCCGGTACATTGGATGGATCAGGATGCAGCAAAGCTTGTCCGAAAATCAGTCGCAATGAGTGTAAGTGTTGCAGTGTGTGGAGAGTAAGGGATATACTATTAAAGTTGTTAGTAGCATTTATTTATTAAATATTACCCAGTGATGCATCTTGAATATGGCTGGCAGCATTTTGGGCCTAAAATCCATATCTTGACAATGCTGGTTGCAAACTCTACACCCTGGCCACCTGTAACCTGGAAGGCTGTAACCTAGACTTGAATTTTTCCTCCTACTACTGAAAGATTGCAGCTCCAAAATAACATATAAGATAATTTCCGAATCTTACAGCTGTATGATGCCCTTCAGTCAATAATTATGAGATAATTAATTCACTCTACTGGAAATTTAGTAGCTCCAAACATGGTAAAAAAGATCTAGCATCTGGCTGAAATTTTCAAAAATTGCTGGTGAAAATTTTTGTTTTATGGGTAATTTAAAAAATTGATTGCACAAACATTCTGATTATCTTATTTATAGGATTTTTTAGCCATTTTTTATGTATTTGCAAGCCATGATTCTATTTCATTCAGCTGTGAATTTCACATCCGTACCATGAGCCATTTATGAGCTGCAAAGTCCTGTGCATGTGTTACCCATTATCTCTAATTTTACCCTAGAAACATCAACAAGTACATTTTTCTTTACTTTAGAGGCAACTGAACATGTGATAATGTATTGTTTGTGTTTTTGTTGGAGAATAGATGCAGTTGTAGTAACAGTCTGACTGACCACAACTATGCAATCTCCAACAAAACGTTCTAGGTTGGGTCATTATGCAAGATATTTAGGCAGGAGCATTGTACTAAGCACCATGGAAGTTGAAAATATTGTGAAATGATATGCTTTTGAACCGCAATTCAATCAAACAAAAACACATTACAATAGAGCCACACAATTTCATACCCACTGAAATTATATGATATTAGAGCTGTGATATTTCAGAAAAAGTAGGACTTTTCCTAACTAGACTGTAAGTGGGGATATTTTGCCACAGTCATGGCTAGCTTATGTCCCATTTACCAGAATGGTCTGATAGAAGCTCGGAAACTAGATGAAGCTCATCCATGGATTTTCCATGTGAGCTTGCAACACAATGGATACAAATTTTATCTTTTTAATATAGGCAGGCATGGAATATTTCTGCTGATCTCCCATAAACAAGAATAGGTACAGCAGCTACCTCCCTCACTCCAGATGTGAGTGAGAGCTAAGCTTGGAAATTAGGCAGATGCTACCTTTGAATTAGATAGAAACACATGGCTGTGCAGACAATTTCTCATCTTCCTATAGCCCTTTTCTAATTTAATTTGTAAAAATTAGAAAAAAATTTTAAATTTCTTCCTTCAAGTTTCAAAAATTGCCTGGAAACAATCATTGTCACTGGCAAATTTAAGAAAATTATGCTTGATATTCCAGATTAAAGTGACAATTCAACTGAAAAATTGTGCTAAAGCCACCTGTTAACAATAGACTAGAATGATCATGATCTCAGACAATTTTACCCATCCCTATGTCCCCTGTTCAATTTATCCTTGAAAAATTAAAAAAATAGCATGTTTGGCCTGCAGTTTTGGAAAATCATTTGCACAATGATTGATTTTATTGGTGATTTTGTAAAATTTTCACATTAGTCAAAATTAATGTGGAGTCATTCAAGTTCCTAACTAAAAATGATAGGCAAATGATGTGCAAATCATGGCATTGTTTTATTAAGATTATTGGATTGAATCTCCAGTATAATGAAATTAGGTAGATGATACAACTTATCATTCCAAGCACTTTATTTTAATCATGACATTTGGAAATAAATTAACATCAACCTCGTTCATTTGAAAACAAATTTTGAGTGCAATTCATCTAACAAAAATTACAGTAAAAATTTTTTTCCCATTATTAGGGAATGAATGATTTGCTTTGCTTCTATAAAAGAAAACATTTGACACCAAGCATCTTCATTTCAATAAGTATTCAAATCTTTCAACTTCACCCACTTCCACATGCCAGCTCAATTATTTCCCTAGCAATGTTCTAAAGATATAACTGCTGAATGAATTTTTAAAACTTTTGTGTACAGATATACAGCTGATTTTTATAATTTGTCACACAATCTGAGGGATTTTGTGTGTATTAGGTGTTGGTAAGCTGCAGTAATCCCAGTCAATAATCATGTCCCATAAAATATCCAAGTGCCAAGTTTTGCTGCACCAACTCCCTGCAGCTGCCATGGGGAGGGGCTGGTGTGCCATGCCAAGCCTCGCTCAAGTGTGTGCTGATGCTGGCAGTGTGAAGTGTGAAGGTGAGCCTGGCATTTTGCCACATCCTGCACTTATAGTTAATTGGCATGGCTGTATGTTGCTCTGTTCATGGTTAGAAATTGAATCCAAGGTTTTTTTCAATTTACATATTTTCAGACAAGAATTTCCATTACAAATAATTTGTACCATTACCCTATTTGGGAAATTAACAAGAATTTTCTATGTCAAGGAAATATTTATTTCTGAGGAGCATTTGTGCCCAACTTTTCTATTTCCTTTTTTCAGTTTTGGATGCTGGGACTGCCTCCTCATCCCCCAAAGTTCCAATGGAGAACATCAAGGAGGAGCTGATGGACGCAATGGAGATAATAAGTGTAAAGGAAGAACCATTCAATTATGATGAAAAGGTAAACATGTTTGCTGGATCCAATATCTTGAATTTATTCTAATATTTCCTAAATTTGATCAACACAGTGGATGCAAGAATCAAGAACTGTTTATTTATGATAGATTATTTATAGGAATGTAAAAAAATACACAAGTATGATTCCAAGTGAATCTACAAAAAGATTTAAACACATCTTAATATTAGTTGATAAGCACTCACAAAATGAGGAGACTTGAAATTAGTTCACAAATTTCCCCAATTATTTTTGAAGCTAAATTTCCTAGATATATTCTTATGGGTGCATGTATAGTTTTCACCTGTTGGGCAGACACATGAGCCTCCCAGCTCTGATTGTGGGGACCTGCCAGTCCCTTCTCTCCCGCTGTGTGTGCCCTGCAAGAGGGAAGTGCCAAGTGAGGCTTATGAGGCTCCCCACGCCCCCCAACAACCCTCAGCCATGGTGAGGGTGACAAGACAAAAAGTAGGTAGTGGTTGCCAGGACGAAAATCTTCATTTTATATGGTGTTGACTCTCAGTTGACTTTGTATGAAGGAAAGAATGATAATTTTTGGAAATTTTAATCTCTTTGCTGCTCAAATTACTGAGCATAGCATTTCCTTTACTTGTTTTACAAAGTTCTCATGTTGCTTGAATTCTCAAGAGATTTTTTTGTGATGTTCATCTTATGGTAGGTGGCGTTAAAATTATGAACATCTTTGGCAAGCATAGAAAAAATGTGAGGCGACCTCCCAGTTTTTTTCTACAATGACGATATTCAATACGATATTAGAAGCTAGATTTATGAATACATTTTGCTCCTTTGCTTAAGTTTTTGTGCCAATTATGCATTTATTTCCATCTGCTTACAAGTCACCAGGTAATTGCTGCAATTATCTGCCTTGAAGTGACGTGTCTTGGTGTGAGCAGCGCAGCACAAATTGGTAAAAGAAAGATTAGTTATGCTCTTTTTTGTGTCATATCAGAAGGCCAGTAAAGTATCATGCATACAGTGACCAGGATACCTGCATTATCATACATGTCATAAATGAGACAGAGTCTAAGAAGTGAATGGTGACTAAAATGCCTATCATTGTGAAATACTGCATATTTACGACTGTGCAAATTGATATTATTGCAATCCTCTTATTTCTGCTCAGTTGTACTTTGTAAATAAAGATTGCCTTTTTTTCATTTCATTTCTGGAGTATTGAGTTAGAGCTTAAGCCTTTTTTTGTGCTATGGAAATTGGGCTTAAAATTGTATTACTCTTTCATGCTCAAAGGTGTCTCTTCAATAGTATTATTAGCCTATTAGGCCTTTTTAAGTTACAAGCTATTAATTATTTCAAGGGAATTTAGGATTCTTTAATACATTTTATAGGCTCTGTAGGAATAGTTTATAGTTTCCTCAAGTTTAATTTCCACAAAATTATAATTTATTGAGTTTACTAAAAAAAACTTGTATTCCAAACTAGAAAATCAGGCAAAAGTGACACATGAATGAGATAGAACTAACCCTTATTTAAGAATAATTTAATCTGTTTCTCTAGCAGACCTTGCCTAGAATGTTTGTGCTTCATGTACACCGACGACACCAAGATGTATAACAGCGTGGAAACAGACGCCAAGCAACAAAGGCTTCAGAGTGATTTAGATAATCTTGTTGACTGGGCAGACACTTGGCAGCTTAATTTTAATGCTGACAAATGCAAAGTGCTACATTTGGGAAGGCAAAATAGACACTATAAGTATAATATGCGAAAGCACGGGAGTACGGAGCGCATTGAATTACAAGCGACGGAACTTGAAAAGGACTTGGGTGTGAACGTGGACACAAGTTTGAAGTTTTCTCAGCACGTTGAAATTTAGGTGAACAAGGCCAACAGACTGTTGGGTCTCACCAGGAGATCATTTGTGTACCTGCAGGACTCTCAGACTATGAAGATGCTTTTTTAGCAATTGTTCGTCCGCACTTAGAATTTGGAGATATAGCGTGGTCGCCGTTCTTGGAAAGAGACAAAAAGCTCATTGAGAGTGTGTTACGTAGAGCAACCAAAGTAATACCAGGTTTAAAAAATCTTGAATTATAAACATTCAGCAGAGAAACCCCTGAACTGTCCTGACTGTAAATATGCTTGCGTCAAAAAACGTGATCTAAATTTACATATTCTTTCCAAGCATTCAGCACAAAAACCTTTTGGCTGCACTAAGTGTAAATATTCTTGCGTCCAACGTCGCCTTCTCGATCGACATATTCTCCGTATGCATTCGTGAGCAGAATGTAAGATTGCAGCAGACAAGGCTTTAGCCCAGGGAGGATTGCAGCATACAAGACTTTTGCTTAGGGGCAGAATTATAGCATACAAGACTTTAGCTTAGGGGCAGGATTGTAGCATACACGGCCGCAGCTTCGAGGGAGAAGTGAGAGTGAATTTGTTGCTCTGCCCACCAACTGTCAGAGGGACTGGCGGTTCATGGGAATTGTCAGCCTGTCATCAATTGTTGCAGCTGCTGCGGTGGTGGTTGCCGCCTTCTGTCCTTCCTGGTTTGATTTTTTGTGCAAATTTTTGCTTAGGGAAAACTCTTTCACTGTAACTTTGTATTATCGCGAATATATTTCAGTTTTAGTTCCGTTTAAATGTAAGCGTTTGCCGTGCTGCCACTGGCGGGGCTCAAATAACTCTTGTTTTTCAAGCTACTTTTAAGTTTTATTTATGACGGAAGTGTTTTTTGTATGGAACGCAGACCAGGCAGAGGTTGAAATAAAAATCATTAATTTCATAATGACTTTTCTTCTCCGCGTATTCTTATTCAAGGCATCAAACCTTGTGAAACTTGTTTAAATGATCATCTCGCAACTTAGGTGATTCTCAATAGGGATGGAGGAAATTTAAAGTGTTCTTATCTTCACAATTTGTTTACTTTGCCATTTTACTTATTGAAACGAATTATTTTAAAAGGCTAGAAGTTTATTTTGTCTTATCAAATACAAATCCGACTAAAAATTTTTGAATATATTCCAGTGGAGCATTTTTATTAATTAGTCATAAGTTTCATCCAGATCGACCGCGAATCAACTTAGTACAGGATAAACACTTGGAAAGAAACATGCTCATAAGTCCACTGGTGAGTTCAGAGAAATGAAGAATAGGCGTTATTACAAGATATATTTGATACTTGTTTTCATGTTGTGTTCTGAATGATATACAACGTTAAGGGGCAGGGTGATCCTGCGGTTACAGTTAAGAGTAGCAAGATTGAAGCAGTGAGATGCTGGTTCGAACTATGCTTCTTATGTCAGTTCATGTCAAAATCGGCGAGGTGACCGGGTGGTTGTGAACTGAAAAATTTGAGCACTGAATCGGGTTCGAAACCACAGCGAGATTCAAGAATTCTGTGATGTCTAGATTCGCCAACGGGCAAAATTTGGCCACGTCAATGCTGACAATAATACTAAGAACGCTCTAAAATAGAAACGGGCATTATTATAAGCGTTTTGATGTGATGTAATTCATGAATAGTTGTTATTATTGAGTTCATTGTAGTGACTTTCAGTGCAATAGAGTCATGCCGGTGCCTTATGTCTACTTATCACTACATTTTTTACGTTGAGAAAAGTTCGAACGTAGTTCATGTGGTGAATCCATATTGAAGTTGCTCCGTTCCATATCAAAGTCCGGAACCTCTAGATTTTCCGCGCCGATTGATGGATGCATTTTTCGCCACTTGTTGACGTAGAGCGCATCGTCTGGGTCCGTCTCTCCCAACCCCAAGTACTGCTTCCTGCGGCGCCAGCACCTCCTTTGCTGACTCGCTTTATCTTAACAAACTTGCAAATTGGTAAAAGAAAGATTAGTTATGCTCTTTTTTGTGTCATATCAGAAGGCCAGTAAAGTATCATGCATACAGTGACCAGGATACCTGCATTTTCATACATTTCATAGGCTGCACAACGCATTATAATATGTGTCTTACATGAGACAGTCTAAGATAAGTGGCAACTAAAAAGCCTATAATTGTGGAAATGCTGCATATTTATGTCTATCAAGCAGGTTTCATTGAAGACCAGAAAATTTGTTTTATTCGCAATTTTCTTATTAGATTTTCAATATATCGAACAATATTTTTAGTTTGAACTGGCAAATCGAAAATCAGGTTACCGATGGACATTTTTATTTCGTTAACGACGTTTAGAATGTTTTTATTATTCATTATCAAGTTAAAAGGCGCATTGAGTGATGAAATTAGCGTTGACATAAGTCATAAGGTAAGTACAAAATCAATTAAATAGGATATTACTTAAAAATCAAAATTGTTAGGAATAATTACAAAATCACAAAATAATTTAGAATCAAAGCACTGAAAATTACTCTGAAAAAATGAAACCTGCTTGAAAGGAGAAATTCTGCCAACCTATACTAATTTATGTCTATGTAGGTATACAGTATATTGAAATTATTTAAATCCTTGTATTTCTGTTCAGTTTGAAATAAAGATTGCCTTTCTTTTTCAATTATTTGTGAAGGTATTTGTCTATTGGAGTAGGAGTATTGAGTTAGAGGCTGACTGGCTGAGTGACTGCTGTCTGCTGACAGACTCAGGGCTGGAAAATTCCTATTTTTGTCTGAAATAGGGTAAACGCGGTATATTCCGAAATCGTAGGTAATTCCGTCACCTCTCCAGCTTTTCCCTTATATTAAGCTTTGTTTTAGTTCCATGCGTTCATTGATGGTTGAAATGGTGAAAGGCACAACAGAATCGGCAACAGGCTGTGGAAGCCTAACATCTGATGCCGAGATCGCTATGCTATGCTATGCTTGCCAATTTGATCTTTTTTGTGTGCAGTTTTGCAAAATTCTGCTCAATATTCCGGATGGGCATGTGGGCATTAGTTATTTAAAATTTCTGTGGAGCCCAATTGTGCCCAACATGTCAAGTGTATTAGCAGTTTTTTATATGAAATTTTCAATAAACTCCTTTGAAATGCATGTTTTCTCAAGAAAATTCAGATAATTTGCCTGTTATTTCTCTAATAAATTATAATACAGATAGCTATCTGTCTTTGTTTTAATTTGTTTCTGTATTATTTATACCATCATCACTCCGGCTGATAAATGGTGATGTAGTCTCAGTGTTACCCCAAATCTCTAATTTTACCCTAGAAACAGCATCAATAATATTTGCATTCACTTTAATGGCAGCTGAATACATGATAATGCAGTCTGACATGACCGCAACTATGTGATCTCTAACAAAACATTTTGGTTGACTTGTAATATCACTTTATGGAGGATATTTTGGTGGGAGCATTGAAGTATTGCGGAAGTTGAAAATTTTATGAAATGACATGTTTGCATGTTAAGTGCAAAACTGTGATTTTTTCAATCAAATAAAAATACATGACATTAGAGCTGTGAGTCTTCATACCTACTGAAATTATATGATGTTAGAGTTGCAATATTTCAGAAAAAGTTGAACTTTTCTCAACTAGCATCTGTGTGACAGCATAATCAGCAACCATCAAACACTGTCTACTATGCCTGAAACTTTATGTCTTTAAGTCTATTAATTGGCAACTTCAAAGCATTTTTATGATTTTGCATCATTAATTTATGTTGTGCAGAATTTTTCATTTTGAGACATGGACACAGATGAAATTTTCTGTGGACTTGTGGATTTTTCCTTTTTACTTCCTCTACTTATGGCTTTTTCCCCATTCTTCAGCTCATGTAAGGGGTTCCCAATATGAGAGGTTTCCTGTAGTATGTTACAAAGAAAAAGTGATCCAATTTTCTAAGTTAGATTGCTCCAAATAATATTTTAGTCTATTTGAAGACCTGAGGCTACAAAGTAACAAATTTTTGTTAAATCTACTGGCTTATAGTTTGTGGACATCTTGGTGAGAAAATTATAAATTTTTTAATCTTTCTTTGATAACAATGACATCAGAATAGCTGAGGCCTTATCAGCAATATGCCTGTAAATTGAAGAGAAAAATTTGATTATTTATGTTCTTTGGGTGAAATTGGTAATTTTAATGAAAAACCCACTGAGTTATTAGCTCGGAAATTTGTTCAGGAAATGTATTGTATAAATAACTTGAAGTATAGTGAGTGAGTATAGTCCATTCTGTTGGCATCCACGAATTTTTTTCTTCTGGCCTTGCTGGTTGACAGACAGATTTTTTGTGCTCTTCCAAAAATTTATTGCAATCTAATGCCAGGGGAATATTATAAAAATTTCAATTACCTATATATGACCTCTGCATCCAAAATTATTTGATAAGGCTTGAAACAAAACTATAACAAACACTCATACTGCTCGTTGAGCAATACCCTTGGGTGTATTGCATGGTACATTCAACGTAGGCATGGGCCTTTGTACGAGAATTATAACGTATTGAATTACTCATCCTTAGGACTAAACTGCCAATAAAATCAGTTCTGATAGGTGACAAAGGGTATAATACTTATATAAATTACTGAGGATCTTGCTGCTGGAAGATCTACATGCAAGTGCTCATGATGTTTATACATACTTTCCAGTAGGGATTTTACCCATAGCTATTGTTTAAAGGGGTACGCAGCCGTGCACCACCAAATTTGTGCACCAATCAGCCTTGAAAGGAACGCCTAGCATATTTCCGGATGACCACCAATCAGCCGCGGATTACAGCCCGTGACATCATCTTGCTTTAAATATTAGGAGCTTTACGCCACCACATTCTGAAGCGAATAGCCCAGAGAGTAATGGTTATGCACCACTAAACATTGCATCGAATCATCACTTCATACCCTGACTTTAGCTTGTACTGTAACTTGCGGACAACGGACTGCGACCAACCAGCCCAGGTCGCCAGTGGAACTGCATGCATCCTGCCGTGCACCACCAGACCGTCACTTTTAGCTCAACATCCGGGATTAGGTTTCAGAAAGCATAGTTCTGTTCCAAACTCTATCGTCCGCCGGCGAGGGACTTCCGCAGCTTCGCTATATTACGTAACTTTTAGCTCACAGCATCTGGGGTTAGGTTCCAGATAGCATAGTTCTGTTCCAAAATTTATCGTCGTACGACGCGTGGCCGTTCGACCGTGGGCTGATTCGACACACGGGACAGATACGGACGGCTCCGGCGCGCTCCGTCCGGGTGGTGTAAAATTTTTTCGCGTGTTGGCAGACGACGCTGGGCCATACGACGCCAGGCTTATTTTCCTGTGGGCTGATGGATCTCATTCAATGGATGTGATCTGTCTGGTGGCGTGCAGCTGATAATGTTGCAGTCATGAAGTGTTGTAGGCTACGTTCTTCAGGGACGGGATCATGATAGTCCATTCGAAGCACGGCAGTGGTGGTCACCGACAGGCGTCCCGTTTAAAGTGGCAAATTTTCATCCCATCTTTGTTATGAGCACCTATCAGTCAGGACTAATTGAAAAAGTTCTGTCCATAGTCATAAATACATGAATTCTGGATAGATAAGTGATTAATGAAAATTATTTGAATCCTCCAAACATTTGCTACATGCCAGGTTAAGGTTTTTCCTATGAGGTTCCAACAGCTCAAAAATTTTTCAAACTGTTTTTGTTGCAGATTTTCTGGCAACGAATATTTCAGGTGTTGGTAATCTCATCAGTAAATGCAATCATGTCCCGTAATATATTTGAGTGCCGGGTCTTGCTGCGCCAACTCCCTGCAGCTGCCGTGGGGAGGGGCTGGTGTGCCATGCCAAGCCTCGCTCAAGTGTGTGCTGATGCTGGCAGTGTGAAGTGTGAAGGTGAGCCTGGCAGCTTGCTCCATCCTGCACTTATAGTTCATTGGCATAGTTGTATGTAGTAGCTCTGTTCATGGTTGTAAATTGAATCTGATGTTTTGTAATTTACATATATTCAGGTATAAATATCCATTAAAAACTATATGTAACATTAACCTATTTTGGGAATGAATTAAAATTTTCTATGTTGAGCAAGCATTTTTCCTGAGGAACATTTACCACCTTCACTATTTCCTTTTTGCAGGTTTGAATGCTGGGGCTGCCTCATCAGCATCTGAAGTTCTAATTGAGAACATCAAGAAGAACCTGTTGGATGCAATGGAGATTGTAAGTGTAAAGGAAGGGCCATTCAATTATGATGAAAGTGTGCACTAATTAGTTGGCATCCAATATCTTGAATATGTTCCAATCTCTAAAATTGAACAAAATAGCGGTTGCAAGAATGTGTATATTTATGATAGATTATTTATATGAATGTAAACAAAATGAACGAGTGATTCAAAGTGAATCTTCAAAAAAGTATATAATGGTAGTTGATAAGCACTCACAAAATGAGGAGCATCGAAATCAATTAATAAATTTTCTCAATACTTTTTGAAACGAAATTTCTTAGATATATGCTTATGGATGAAAGTATCATTTTCACCTGTTGGGGCAGGCATGTGAGCCTCCCAGCTCTGGTTGTGGGGACCCGCCAGTCCCTCCTCCCCCGCTGTGTGTGCCCTGCAAGAGGAAAGCGCCTCATGGGGCTCCCCAGACCCCCCAACAACCCTCAAACAATGTGGGGGTGACAAGACAAAAGGTATGTAGTGTTTGTCAGGCGGAAAATCATCATTTGTGAGGTGTTGACCCTCAGTTAACATTGTATGAAGGAAAGAATTATAGGTAATTATTGAATATTTAGAATCTCCTTGCTGCTCAAATCATGACATGAAATTTCAATATTAGGTACAAGTCATGAAAATGTCATGTTCATTTGCTCACCATTACTGAGCATAGCAGTGCATTTACTTGTTTTACGAAGTTTTCATGTTGCTTGAATTCTCAAGTGATTTTTTCTGATGCTCATCTTAAGGCAGGTGGCATTAAAACAAATTTCTGAGCATCCTTGGCAAGCATAGAAAAAATTTAAGGTGGCTCAATCGTTTCTTGTATATTGAGGATATTCAATACACCAGGACAAAATTGGAATCAAGATTTCATGAATACATTTTGCTTTGTATAATTTTCTGTTCAAATTATGCATTTGTTGCCATCTGCTTACAAGTAACCAGATAATTGCTGAAATTACCTGCCATGAAGTGACCTGTCTCGGTGTGAGCAGCGCAGCAGCGGCGCGTCGTCCACGGCTGGGGGAGCTACAGCAGCGGCTGGTGGCAGTGGCCACGTCTCTGCAGCAGCGGCTGGTGGCGGTGGCCACGTCTCTGCAGCAGCGGCTGGTGGCAGTGGCCACGTCAACCGACAAATTCCTGATAAACATGCACGCAAGAGAACATATCACTGTGCTGATTGTGATTATGTCAGTTTTTTCAAGCATAGCTTAAGGAATCATATTCATTCCAAGCATTCAGCACAGAAACCTTTCACTTGCTCTGAATGCTCATATGCCTGCGTCATACAACAAAATCTAAGTAGACATATTCTTCATAAGCATTCAGCAGAGAAACCCCTGCACTGTCATGACTGTAAATATGCTTGCGTCGAAAAAGAGCAACTAAGTCAACATATTCTTTCCAAACATTCAGGAGAGAAACCTTTCACCTGTTTTGAATGCTCATATGCCTGCGTCACACAACGAGATCTAAGGCAACATATTCTTTTTAAACATTCAGCAGAGAAGCCTCTGCAATGTCCTGACTGTAAATATGCTTGCGTCAAACAACAGCAGCTAAGTCTACATATTCTTTCCAAACATTCAGGAGAGAAACCTTTCACCTGCTCTGAATGCTCATATGTCTGCGTCACACAAGGAAATCTATGTCGACATATTCTTTTTAAACATTCAGCAGAGAAGCCTCTGCACTGTCCTGACTGTAAATATGCTTGCGTCACACAACAGCAACTAAGTCAACATATTATTTCCAAACATTCAGGAGAGAAACCTATCACCTGCTCTGAATGCTCATTTGCCTGCGTCAGACAAGGAAATCTAAGTCGACATATTCTTGCTAAACATTAAGCAGAGTAACCTCTGCACTGTCCTGATTGTAAATATGCTTGCGTCAAAAGATATGAACTAAATTTACATATTCTTTCTAGGCATTCAGCAGAAAAACCTGTAGGCTGCACTAAGTGTAAATATTCTTGCGTCCAACGTCGCCGTCTCGATCGACATATTCTCCGTATGCATTCGTGAGCAGATATAGGATTACAGCATACAAGGCTCTTGCTTAGGGGCAGGATTGCAGCATACAAGGCATTAGCTTAGGGGCAGGTTTACAGTAAACAAGGCTTTAACTTGGGGGCAGGATCACAGCATACAAGGGTTTAGCTCAGGGGCAGGATTACAGCATGCAAGGCTTTCGCTTAGGGGCAGGATTGCAGCATACAAGGCATTGGCTTAGGGACAGGTTTACAGTAAACAAGGCTTTAACTTGGGGGCAGTATTACAGCATACAAGGGTTTAGCTCAGGGGCAGGATTGCAGCATACAAGGCATTGGCTTAGGGACAGGTTTACAGTAAACAAGGCTTCAACTTGGGGGCAGTATTACAGCATACAAGGATTTAGCTCAGGGGCAGGATTGCAGCATACAAGGCATTGGCTTTGGGACAGGTTTACAGTAAACAAGGCTTTAACTTGGGGGCAGTATTACAGCATACAAGGATTTAGCTCAGGCGCAGGATTACAGCATGCAATGCTCTAGCTTAGGAGCAGGATAACAGTATACAAGGCTCTACCTTGGAGGGAGTTTCTCAAGCTAGGCCAGTTACTGTTAATGACCAGTAATCGCTACGAGTTTTGTGCCTTTGATATTCAATTGTAATCCGTCAAACGTGTGTTCAAGTACAGTAGTCACTTGAATATTATTCATAAAGTTCACAGTGTTGTCATTACCCTAGTCTATTCTTTGGGAGCCTTGGGATGAACTCTGAACTTTAGGATCAAAAGTCACAAAGTTGCTAGCGACTAGAGTAACTTTTGCAGGCGACTGACCTGAAATAGTTAGACTTGACTTCTGCCCTGAAACATGTCAGAGCAGCACTTGGAACGAACGCTGCCCGCGCTCCTGTTAATTTCTGAGTTGCTATGCAAGTCTTCAGGCCAGGTTTGGTGCTCAAGCAACAGTGAAAAATTGCGGCAACTTTTCCATCGACCGCCTGTTCTAAGATGGCTTATAATCACAACTAATATCATCAATATAGAACGCTTTAGCTTGCAAATGTAACCTAAAGAATCATTTTCGAGTCTAAACTCTTTGAAATTCGAGATTTTAATTTCATTTCAGTTCTGCATCATTTAATTTGTTAAATTTATTATAAGAACCAGTATATATTTATGGTTATTTCTTGTGCATTGTATTAATTGTACTTCAGTTCAGGGCAGGAATGGAGTGTAATGTGATAAGCAATGTATCTGAGAATCAAAAAAATAAGAAAGGGAACAAAATATCATGCTTGTTCTTCGTGGATGTTTGTGTATAATGTTTGATCGTTAGAACGCAAGCTCCCTTGTACATGATGTAAAATGTTGTGAATTTTGCCCTTTTTGAACTCATTAATGTAAAGTATGAAATTTATGGAAAAATCTTAGAAGCGTAGAACTTAAAATATTTTAATTGTGGACCTCTCTTGTTGCTCTAACCAACAACTGTCAGAGCGACGGGCCCTCGGGCGCGGTTCATGGGAATTGCAGGCCTGGCATCAATTGTTGCAGCTGCTGCGGCGGTGGTTGCCGCCTTCTGTCCATCCTGGCTTGACACTTTTTCTAAATTTCGTTTAAGGGAAAACTCTTTCGTTGTAATTTTGTTTATATTATCGCGAAAATATTTTAGTAATAATTCCATTTAAATGAAAGAGCTTGCCCTGCTGCCAATTGCAGGTCTCAAATAACTGATGTTATTCAAGTTAATTTCAAGTTTTATTTTTGACGGAAGTGTTTTTCGTGTGTAAAGCAGACCAGGCAGAGGCTGAAATAAAGAGCATTAATTTCATAGGGACTTTTCTTATCCGCATAATCTTGTTCAAGGTGGCGAAACTTGTGAAACTTGATAAAATGCGCAGCTCGTAACTTTGTGATTCTGAATAGGGATGGAAGAAACTTAAAGTATTTTTATCTTCGCAATTTGTTTGTTTTGCCATTTTCCTTATTGAAACGAATTATTTCAGAAGGCTAGGATATGTTTATTTTGGTATATCAATTACTGATACGACTAAAAATTTTCGAATGTACTTACAGTGGCGAATTTTTATTAATTAGTCATAAATTTCATCCAAATTGTTTGCGAATTAACTTAGTAAAGGATAAGAACTTGGACAAAACATGCGCCTAAGTCCGCTAGTGAGTTCTGGGAAATGAAAAATCGGCGATACTACTAGTGATCATTTGATAATAATTTATGTTGTGTTCTGAATGGTATACCACTTTATGATTTTAAGAGGTAGGGTGGCCCAGGGGTTACAGTTCAGAGTACCGAGATTGAAACAGTGAGATGCTGCTTCGTACTAAGCTTCTTATGGGAGTTCTGGTCAAAATCGGCGAGGTGGCCTGGTGGTTGAGAACCGCAAAATTTGAGCACTGACTTGTGGGTTTGAAACCACAGCAAGGTTCAAGTATTCTGTTATGTCGAGAATCGCCAACCGGCAAAATTTTGCATCGTCAATGCTGACAATAATATTACTATTAACGCTCTAAAATCGAAATGGGCATCACTATGGGCGTTCTGATTTTTTTTGTAATTCAGAAGTATTTGCTTTAATTGAGTGCATTGTAGTGACTTGCAATGCATTGGCGTCTTGCCGACGCCTTATGTCTACTCATCACTACATTTGTTATGGGCAGAACAGTTCATACATAGTTCATGTGCTGAATTTTCAATATTCGCATTGATGTGTCTCCGTTTCATATTAAAAAACTGGAATCTCTTGATTTTCCGCGCAGCATGATGGATGTATTTTTCGCCACATGTTGACGTCGAACGCTAGCACCCAACTTTGTATCATGTATCATCGTCGTGTGGTCACCGAAACTTGAAAAGGACAAAAATTTAATAGGGAGTGTTCAAAGACGTGGAACAAGGATAATTCCAGGCTTGAAAGGCAAGTCCTATGAGGAAAGATTGAACATTATGAAGCTTCCAAGCCTCAGTTATCGACGTCTGCGTGGGGAACTCATTGAAGCATACAAGTATACTCATGGCTTATACAAGGTCCCAGAAGGATTACTAGAATTTGAAACAAGAACCAACACCAGGGACCACGGCTATAAACTAAAAAAACTGCATAAAATGCCTAGCAAATTACGGACCAGGCAATAAGTCCAGCAGCTACTCAATCAATCGTCAGTTATGGAAAGATCGGGTTCCAAAGGCCGGATCCCTTGTGAATCTAGTCACGCAAAGTTCAAGAATCTGCAACAGGCCATGGGCCTATTTCTTCAGAGCCGACACTTCTATTCTATTCTATGTACCTCATCTATGTAGTCAACTCGTTTGAACTGTGATAGTGAGTGGTTGTTCGTTAACATAGCTCCTGCTTTGAAACCGGCGTTTACAAAAATCCAGATTTTCATTCAAATTAGATTGTGCTATCACCTCACTTGAAAACCTAGTTAATCTAACCTTGTGTGGTAGGAAAGTGAATAACATGAAAGAAGTGGGACGCAGTATAGACCCCTGCATAGCCCTTTCCCAAAATTCAATATCTATTCCTTTCCGAGCTTAATCACGCTAGAGGGCATGGCGTTATAGGGACGGCGGGTTGCGCTTTAGCCTGTGGAGTAGAGCGCGATGAAGCAGTGGCTGTGACGTAACGGCGCTGTTATGTCAGGCGCTTATTTTCAAAAGCCATGATTACGCCAGGCTGTGTTTAATACAAGCACGCAACAGTTTGGCTATTTGCCCACGGCTGTTGCTTCGGCGGCTTGATGTTATCTGGCTGATTAATTCATTTCCAGGAAGGGAAATGGCACCTATGGCTTTGGGCACTTAATCACACAGGCTAATATGCCCTCTAGCGTGATTACGACCGGAAAGGAATAGATATTGAATTGTGGGCAAGGGCTATGTAGGGGTCTATACTGCGTCCCTCCGGCGCTATGTCTTTGGGCACTTGCCTTCATAGGTCGTTATGCACTTTAGCGTTCTTGCCTATGGAAAGGAATATGAACTAAGTTTGGCAAAGCTGGCTTCCGGCATGCGCCCCGTGGCGAACGACATCTCATGTAGAGCTATGCGCTACGGATGTGATGGTCCGCGCATCAATTGACATTACTTGCCTTGAAAATTCATAACGGGAATTTCAAAACTTATTTAGTTTCAATCCCTACGCGCGACACCGAATGAAGCCAAGGGCACGCTATA